ATGGTGGATAATTACATTGGGAGAACATAATATGAACAGTGTTCACAAGGAAACCAGCTACTTACAGAAAAAAATGTCAGTACATAAAGACGTGACTGAAGATATGGGTAATTTACTAATGGACAAATCAGCCACTCTGCTTAACAAGCTGGAGACCAGAAAAGTCATCCTTACTTCAAAAGAACTGTTGGTTGTTGTTGTTGCTTTTCGTTTTGGCTTTGATGTGTTTGACATGACAACAAATTGACAAATTGCCTTAATGTGCTTATATTAATGCGTAAAGCTGATTATTCTGATGCTGAGCATTAAGTTATTTTCTCAATCTTTATATGAGTGCAAGAGTTTACAAAAAATACCAAAAAAGTAGATTAAAGAAACACAAGATATGGTTAAAACAGCAAACAAAAATCTCGTGGAAGTGCTAAAAACACTCATATTAGTCAAGGTTAATATGATAAGGTATGATAATGCTGCTAGGTAAATTTTGTTTTATTATAATCACAGTAATAATAATAATAATAATAATAATAATAATAATAATAATAATAATAATAATAATAATAATAATGTTAACGAGGGCGCATGTTGGCTTAGTGGTTAGCACGTTCGGCTCACACCTCCATGGTTCGATTCCCGCCGGGGCCATGTGTGTGCGGAGTTTGCATGATCTCCCCGTGCTGCGGGGGCTTCTTCCAGGTACTCCGGTTTCCTCCCCCAGTCCAAAGACATGCATGGTAGGTTGATTGGCGTGTGTAAATTGTCCGTAGTGTATGAATGGGTGTGTGTGATTGTGCCCTGCGATGGACTGGCACCCTGTCCAGGGTGTACCCTGCCTTGTGCCCAATGCCCCCTGGGATAGGCTCCAGGTTCCCCGGGACCCTGAAGAAGGAATAAGCGGTAGAAGATGGATGGATGGATCGATGGATGGATAATGTTAAAGAGGCAGAAAAACACTTTTCCCAAGAGAAAAGGGAGTCGCTTACTCTATTAGTGATATTTTCATTTGCAACACCAAATACATATGTATACGTATCAACAGAATTGTTTACCCAATTGATATTTAATGTGGATCAATAGCTGTACAACAAGAGATGCTATGCAAGTAATTGGCTTTACTCTAATACGCCAATTAATGATAATTGTGCAGACCTGGAACAACACAGTGAAATGAAGTTAATATAATATATAATGAGGCTAGTTCTGTGATATAAAACCAGCCCTGCTGGTTGGACCTTATATACTCATGAAAATGTTCTAATGCCACCCAAATCTTATGAATATAATCCAAATGTTTTTAAGATCGTACCAAATACATTCAATCAGGTGTGTCTAAGCTCCTGAATAATAATGTATGGGATGTCATGATGCTAAAGGAACAGCTCCAGTGCCGGATAAGTTGAGGGTTAGGGTTCTGATATTTATGAAACTATCCAAATATTCTGCAAGAGAGAGCAAAATTGGTATATGCTGTCACTGCCGTCTTAAACCAGACAAAATTACAGCTTGCAATGCTTCTGAAAAATGTGTTAAAATAAATAAGTAAATAAATATTAAAAACCAAGACTTTTTTTGGCTTTTAATTTATTCTATCTCTCTCTCTCTCTCTCTCTCTCTCTATTTGCGCTAACTCAAATCAAAGCCACAGTTTTTATTACTAACTTTAAAGGGTATTATATAGAATATAAGTGGGACATGACCTGCCCACCTAAACAGTCATATTTTTTTAAGAGTTTCTTTAAGAAATGGTATTGCAAAACCACTGAGCAGTGCACATTAAACATGTAATAGGAAAGTGTTATTGCATCATAAATTATAAGAGCCTATCGTGTTCCGATATGCAAATATGTACTGTTGTTACACTGATGTATCAGGTATATCTGGTCTTCAAAAGCATAATGAATATTGGTTACCACATGTAAGCTTAATTAAATGTCATTTGTTTTAACTAAGAACTGGTTCACTGGACTGGTTTTACAATGAAGCAATATAACACGAGCTGTAATTCAGCCATAAGCACGAGTGCCGCAGGTAATCGTAGCCGTGCTGACATTCTCTACAACTACACGATTGCATGTGTGATATTACTTTAATACAACAGCCAAAATTTTCTTTTTTGCTCCATCTGTGAAAATAGTCCCCAAAGACTCCACTGCAGAATAGAGCACAGTGTGTTGCCATGCCAACACAGAGACCCTGACAGTCTGTCGTAAGTATACTAACATAACAATGTAACAAGCTGTTGCTGGAATTGTAATTTTCCAGCTGTTGCTGGAAATGTAATTTTATGCAGCAAACACGGACAAGTGGAGTGATCCAGACAGTGAAATGTCCCCGTACTGTTATACTAAACAATCAGCACTCTCGTAACACTGCTTATTATCCAATCAAATCAGTGGACCAAAACTAACAGATGTACATTTACTGATTAAAATTAGGATTTGAATTCACAACCTTCTGATCAGTAGGTCAAAGCCTTAACTTACCCTTAAAACATCACACATGGAGATGCAGGGGATTGAACCCTAGACCTTATACGTGCAAAGCATGCACTCTACCACCGAGCTACATCCTCAGTGTACAGCATACACTATAATAGCAGCTCTGATAGTAGTGCTTTATCATAACACAGTAAGGTAAAATTATGTCCAACAGCTAACTGTTATACTTTTACATTTACTTCATTTCATTACCTTGGTTCATTCTTGGGGATTTTATTAACGGGAATCTCTCCCATGAACCTCCGAAATACAGACAGCACGTTACATGTCCCACCAGAGGCAGTGATATACTGGATCACTGCAACAACATAGTAAAGGATGCTTATCACTCTGTCCGACGCAACGCTTTCGGGCTCTCTGATTATTGTCTTGTTCATCTTACACCGACCTACAGACAGAAACTGAAATGAGCTAAACCTGACTAACGAAGCAGAGCGGGATCTACAAGCCTGCTTCAACTGCACTGATCGGAGTGTTTCTGAAGCTACAGCCACAGACCTGGATGAGCGCACAGATACTGTAACATCATATATCAGTTTCTGTGAGGATATGTGCATCCCTACTAAGACATTCTTATCATACAATAAAGATCATCCATGGTGTACAGCTAAATTTAGAAAGCTTCGTCATGCCAAAGAGGATGCTTACAGAAGTGGGGATAATGTCTAGTATAATAAGGCCAGGAGCACACTAATAAAGGAGATCAGAGTGGCTAAAAGGAGCTACTCGGATAAGCTGGGAAACCAGTTTTTGGAAAACGACCCTGCCGCTGTGTGGAAAGGTTTGAGGAACATCATCAAGTACAAGACACCATCACTCCGCTCTGTGGAGAATCAGCGTGTGGCTGAGGAACTGAATGTGTTTTACACCAGGTTTGAAAACTCTTAACTGCACTTCATAGCCACCCTCCTCCCCCCTCCTGCTGTTCAACCTGCATTTCTGGTCTGTGAGGAAGATGTGGGCTGTGTCTTTAAAAAACAGAAGACTAGGAAGCTCCGGGCCCAAAGGGGGGGTCACCAAACAAGGGAAAGGGGGGCCGCGCCGGCCCCCAAAAAAAAAAAAAAAAAAAAAAAAAAACCCCGAGCAGAGAACAAAAAAAAAAAAAACAAAAAAAAAAAAAAAAAAAAAAAAAAAAAAAAAAGGGCGAGGGGAGAAACCGCCCGCCGGTGGGGGCAAAAGAGAAAAGAGAGGAGGCGACCAACCCAAAAAAAAAAAAAAAAAACACGCCCCACCACCCAAACGAGACCCACCGCGAATAGAATTGTGGGGTGAACAGTCAAAATGTGTGTGTTTGGGGGGGGGGGGGGGGGGGTGGGTGGCGCGTGGTGTTCCAGGGGTGGGGTGGGGGGGTGGGTTGCGGGTCCCCCCCCCCCCCCCCACGCGCGCGGGGGCACGCCACGCAACCAAAAGCGGCACAAAATGGGCGAGACAACAAAAACTAGCACCTTGCATGGCAGCTCTGCTACCATTGGTGAGTGTGTGTGTGAATGGGTGAATGAGACACAGTGTAAAAGCGCTTTGGATAAAAGCGCTATATAAGTACACATTTACCATTTACATTTACCCCATTCACCATCATGAACAGCACTCTGGCAGCAGTGGAGTCATTCAGGTTCCTGGGCACTACCATCTCTCAGGACCTGAAGTGGGATGATCACACCGACTCCATATTTAAAAAAGGCCCAGCAGAATCTGTACTGCCAGGAACTGACAGGAGGAGTTTTACTCGGCCATCATTGAGACTGTCCTGTGTACTTCTATAACTTTCTGGTTCGGTTAAGCCGCCAAATCTGACAGAAAGAAACTACAACGGACAGTCAGGACTGCTGAGAAAAGTATTGGTGCCCCACTGCCCAACCTCCAAGAACTTTACACCTCCAGAGTGAGGTGTGAAGAACATCACTTTGGACCGCTCGTACCCAGCCCACTTTCTCTTTGAACTACTGCCCTCTGGTCAGCGCTACAGAGTATAATAATAATGAAAAATTATTATATACACATTCTATACTTCCATTTGCACATAACTGTATATCTGTAAATAGCATATGTGTACACACATAATGTCTTTAGTACTGTCTTACCGTATTTTCCGGACTATAAAGCGCACCGGATTATAAAGCGCAATATCAATGAATGGGTCTACTTTCATGCATAAGGCGCATCCAGCGAAACAAAACAGTCAGATAAGTCAAACTTTATTCAACTCATTCACAATCACTCTCAACATTGCTCAGTTGTAACATAAAATACAAAACAATACACTCACTTTTTCAGTTCATTGCTCTTCCACAAATCCATCAAATTCTTCATCCTCAGTGTCTGAGGTAAACAGTTGGGCGATTTCAGCGTCAAGCATGCCCAGATCTCTCTCGTCATTATCCGAATCTCATTGCTCGTCATTATCCCAATCTCATTGCTGTTACTTAGCTGGTTAGTGATGATTCCGCCATTCATGAAAGCTCGGACGATACTTGAGACTGATACTTTAGCCATCTCGCTTTGTTCCCTCGGAAACTCTGGTTTGGTCTTCCTTACTTGGTGCAGGTCATCTTCTTGCTTCCTCCACTTCCACACCATTGATTCATTAATGTTGAATTCTCTCGCAGCTGCTCTATTCCCATGTTCTACTGCGTGCCTGATAGCCTTGAGTTTGAAATCCGCTTCGTAAGCATGTCTCTTAACAGGTACCATTTTGGGGTCCTATTAAACACCCCGTAATATTACCGGTATGTTGAAGTACAGTACGTATAGCTGAGCAACATCCCCAACTGTCTGGAGAACATCATACTGCAGAGTTGCTGAATTCTCAAATCTGGTTGGTCAGCTGATGCATTTTCGATAAAGGCAGCTCTGATAGTAGTGCTTAATTGTGTATGTATTTAAAGCATGAGCGATAAAAATGACAAAACTAACAAATGTACATGCACTTCATTTCATAACCTGATATGAATGAGCAGTTGAAGATTAAAAGACTTTGTCGAAGACTATATACGATAGTGTAGTTGAATTCTCAAATCTGATTGGTCAGCTGATGTATTCTCTATAAAGGCAGCTGTGATAATGATAGTGGTACGAATCACGGGTTTGTATCAATGCTCTCGATCTAATAAGTTACGCCTTGTAACAGTCAGAAAGGTCTTCAGGAAAGTCTTCAGAACAGACGGCTTTGCCAGTTTTATTTTTTGCGCAATCCGTGATAATAGTCCTCAAAGACTCCAGTATAGGATAGAGCACTGTGGGTTGCCATGCCAACACACAGACCGACTGACAGCCTGTAGTAAGTGTAGTAACATAACAACGTGGCGGCTGTGGCGCAGGTGGTAGAGCGGGTTGTCCACTAATCGTAGGGTTGGTGGTTCGATTCCTGGCCCAGGACTCACACAGTGTCCACTGAACCCCAAATTGCTCCTGTTGGCAAGCTAGCGTCTTGCATGGCAGCTCTGCTAACACTGGTGTGTGTTCGTGAATGGGTGAACGATACACAGTGTAAAGCGCTTTGGATGAAAGTGCTATATAAGTGCACGTTTACAATGTAAGAAAGCTGTTGCTGGAATTGTAATTTTATGCAGCAAACACAGACAAGTGGAGTGATCCAGACAGTGAAATGTCCAGGTACTGTTATACTAAATAATCAGCACTCTCATAGCACTGTTTATTATCCAATCAAATCAGTGGACCAAGACTAACAGATGTACATTTACGTAATTTCATGAACTGATTAAAAGTCACACATGGAAATGCAGGAGATCGAACCCTGGTCCTCATACATGCGAAGCATGCGCTCTACCACTGAGCTACATCCCCATCTGCTTGAGAAACTTTACACCTCAGTGCTGTGTGCTCAAATCTGATTGGTCAGCTGATATATGCACTATAATAGCAGCTCTGAGAGTAGTGCCTTATTGTGTATTTATTTCAAGCATGAGTGATAAAATAACGCAGTAAGGTCAAGTTATGTCCTACAGCTAAATGTTGTACTTTTACATTTACCTCATTTCATTACCTGACCGAATACAGCTGAACAGTTGAAGGTTAAAGGTCATGGCAGCTTTGTGGTGTTTGGATTTGAATTCACGACCTTCTGATCAACAGGTCAAAGCCTTAACCACCGAGTGACCTTTAAAAAGCACACATGGAGATGCAGGGGATTGAACCCTGGACCTCATACATGCGAAGCATGCGCTCTACCTCTGAGCTACATCCCCCATCTGCCTGAATCACTTTATACGAATCTGATTGGTCAGCTGATGAATTTTCTATAAAGGCAGCTCGGATAGTAGATTAGATTAGATTCGACTTTACTGTCACTGAGAACAAGTACAGAGCCAATGAAATGCAGTTAGCATCTAACTAGAAGTGAAACTGTCTATAGATATGTGTGTGTGTGTGTGTGTGTGTGTGTGTGTGTATGTAAAATATTGTGTTCTATAAAATAAAAAGAGCGAAGGTATAAGAAAGTAGAGACCAGCTCAGCACAAAGGTTTAGTGGTAGGTAAGAATAGGTAAGTATAGTGTGCATGCAGAACATTTCAGGTTTGAGACTTATCTTTTTTTTTAATGGGGGTGAGAAACTGCAATTTGAAAAAATTACCCTAATTTTTGGGTTGAATATCTCTTGTGGGGGACCAGATACAGTCCTGAAATTTTCACCGAAATACTGTAAGTCCTCTATAGTAGCATTCTGCTGTTAAAAATCTGAGATTCCACTGATTACAGAGTTAGTGCTAGTAGAAATCTAGTGAAAAGCCGACTTTATTCATGCATTTTGAGAAATGAGCAGATGTAATATAAGCATAAAAAAGTATCAGTATTTGACAGTAATTACGTTTATGATTGGCAATTGTTATATACGAGATATTGTGGTTTCCGTAAACAGCTGTATAACCAAAATTCATTGTGTGCCATGACACAAAAATGGCCGTCGTAATTAAGCCAAGTAAAATAAAAATAAAATAAAAACTGGTGATGTTGCAATAGCAATACATAGAGGTAAAAAAAAAAAAATTCGGTCGAGCAGCCTGTATTGGACCACTTGAGATGGAATGACCCATTTAAGAAACACAACAAACGAGAT